AAGCCCAAAATTTGGGACTCGGCTCGAGCTGGGCCGGCCCATGTGGCTCGTCAAGCTGTATGGGCTAGCTCATGAAAATGGCCCGTGTCATTGGCCCAACCCGATTTGATGCCAACTTTCAACTTTTTTGTTTTATTAATATTTAATTTAAGATTTAAATCAATAAAATATGATTTATATATAAATATGCTTACATAATTAATATTCATAATTATGTTACAATTATCTATATTTTAATTTCTTATCATATTCATTAATATTCCATTATATTTTATTCATATAAATTTAAAATTTTACTGTATATGAGTTAATATAATATTACTTGTTAATATTTCTAATTTTACAAACGAATATTAGGATATTTATATATTTTAAAATTGTACTCTAATTCATATATTATTGTATTTATATGATTAAATTTTTATTGTATTTTAGTTTAGAAGAAAAACTTAAACTTGACTTTTTTATGTGAATATTTCATGAATTTTAAAAAAATAATAAAAAATTATTGAGTTGGCCTGGCTTGATAAAGCCTAAGCCAAAAGCCCGATTCAAGCCTCCAAATTATGGTCAACTTTTGCTTGGTTTGGGCTTAAAAAAGCTTGAGTTTTTTTTTATTGGACTGCGCACGAGCCGTGAGCTTACTCAATCTAGATCGATGAAACCTTTAGTTAAATGTATTTGATTGACTTAAATCTCGATTAAAAATATATTATACTTTTTCATCTTTGTTTGTGTGTAGATGAGAGAGTGAGAGAGAGAGAGAGAGAGTTTGTAGAAAGTATGAATTGCATGGAAAATGTTTTACCTAGCTTCCCCAAATAAAATATTTTCCTTATTTTTGAGAAAAATATGATCAGATAACCAACTTTTAAAAAATATTTTTTATGAAAAAAATGTCAATCAAACATATTAAAATCACGAACTTCCATGAAAAAATAACATATTTTTCATGAAGAATAAAGTAAATAAACATATCCTTACAATATTTTTCTGCCGTCTTTGGTTTTACACATAGAAAAGCATTGCTGAAAGCAATAATTGCACATGCGACGTCGTTTAACACTCCCCCAGGCCCCATCCCCATCCCCACGCCCACGCCCACGCCCACGCCCACCCCCACCCCCATCTCTCTCTCTCTCTTCTTTTTTCATTTTTCCCCAAAGCTGGATCATTTCAGAACGAGTTCATTGTGCATTGTGGACATCAGTTTGTACTTCCCATTTTATTTGTTTTTCACCAAATATTTGGCTTGATGGTCATTATTGTGTAAAAATAATATTTTGAATAATGATTTTTTGGAGAATATATTGTTAAAATATAAGAAAAATCTTAAGTTTCCCCACAAAAGAAAAAAAAATATCTATGTTGGATTCTGGAGTCTTGCTGCACTCTTACTATGAAAAAAATTGTACATGTGTACCGATCAAAAAAATTGTACTTCCCATTTTATTTGTTTTTCACCAAATATTTGGCTTGATGGTCATTATTGTGTAAAAATAATATTTTGAATAATGATTTTTTGGAGAATATATTGTTAAAATATAAGAAAAATCTTAAGTTTCCCCACAAAAGAAAAAAAAATATCTATGTTGGATTCTGGAGTCTTGCTGCACTCTTACTATGAAAAAAATTGTACATGTGTACCGATCAAAAAAAAAAATTGTTCATGTGTAAGAGAAAATTCAACTACACATGCAAGGCCATTATAAGTTTTCGATCTTCATCTTTTAGAAACTCATATTTGTTGAAAAAATGAGTAAATGGCTCAATTTTGGCAAAATTTTCGGTGGGATCCGTTGGTCCAATTTGGAATATCAAAGTTGATTCGTGTTCTCCTCCGTGAGAGTATCAAAATCATATATTTATTTGCCAAAAATGAAGTTTGGGTGAATGAGAAATTGGAGCTCAAAGATGACCATTGAAAGATGGTTTATGTGGGAAAAATGAGTCTAGTCCCACATACGAAAATGAAGAAAGTATTAACTACTTTGTATAGGATTACACATTGGAATGGTGTAATCATATGTTGCATAGAGACTCTCTCCACGTGTACGCGCAGGGGGGTGTAAATCATATATCGAAATTGCTTTCGGACCTTGAACTTGTGTACAGACGTGACCTACGTACACGAATGTCGAACAAAACAGAGCAAAAATTGGCCCGTTTGGATTGTCCACATTTTGCAATTTTTTGCCTTTTTCAATTGACCTTTAAATTTCCTGAAACTGCCAAAACTCTCAGAAATTGAAGCAACTCCAGTATTTATTACTATGGAGTTAATAGGCAGATTTAAACTTATATGAAAGGTCATTTTTTCGGCAAATCCAGCACATACAGAAACAAACACGAAAATAGGAGAAAAACATTTTGCAATTTTTTCTGTCAACATCTCGATTTCTGTTTAGCGTCGTCACTATGGTGATATTGTTCGGATACTAGTCAGTTCGTCGGAGTAGTATCTGTGGTACTCAGATTATACAGGTTTTACTATTATATCCTAGGAAACAAACGCTCGGATTAGACATCAAGCACTTACGGTGAGGGGGCAAATCTGTTTTAAGGAAACTGTGCTTGCACAGGTCTCGAGTTGAAATTTTATTTATCTTTTACAATTTACATATTTGCAATTTATTCTTACGGTTATTTATTTATTTATTTAACGATTTACACGTTTGCAATTTACTAGATTCATATATTTTGCAATTTACTTGTTTTATATTTATGTTAGAAATAAAAATAGAAAAAAAATTATTTGAATTTTCTTGCTAACTGTTGGTAAATGCAGCCACATCCTGCCCTTTTTGTCTACTTAATTACCAATGAAATGTGTGTATTTGGATGAGGGTAAATTACGCAAGTTGTCTTTTAGATTTTCTTTTGGTAGGTAAGTTTCGGTTGCGTAATAAATTATTTTTCTATCGCTATTTAATTGAGTTTAGTGTTGGCGTGGACCCGACGGATTAGGTTTGAGATGGATTCGGAAGCTTGATTTTAGATGGTATAGGCTAAATTGTATTTGTACCAATTAGCTATAATTTTTTAGCGAAGTAGTGACATTACCCTACATCAAATGGAGAGGGATTGACGGCCATGTAAACAAAAGAAATCGAATTCAACAGGATGAACTTGTGACAATGAACAATATAAGGAATGGTAGACACGTATCCAAAAGATTTGAAAGGTCATAAGCACTTTTCACCTTATTTTCCTTATATATGAAAAATATATATACGATATTCAAAAACTAGCCAACACTCCGTTCATTTGCCTTATCCATAATCATTTTTTTCATGATAACTGTTTTAACTGTTAGAGTACAAATGATCACCGTACTTTTCATCAAAAAAGTTTTTTTGTACTATGATGTCTGAGTATATATTTACAATTCATAGAATCTACAACTTATAATCTAAATGACAATATTTTCTATTTAAATTTCTTTTGAGGGGTTAGAGTGTGAGGGTTGTAGAGTTGTCGGGATGAGAGGATCGTTGTATTTATAGTGAACATAAAGATAAGCTCGAACTATCCTTGTTGCGCCCTAATCGCATGGATATGCACATTCACATGCCTTATTGCACAACATGTGCAGGGTCGATCCTGGGATTGTCGGGGCCCAGGGCAAATTTCACAAATTAGGCATCGACGAAATCAACGTAAATGTAAAATTCAACAGTGTATTATGCGACCTATTGCTAACTTAAAACTAACATTTAAATAATAACCAAATATATTATAGAAATGATTTATATTATAAAATAATAAAACCAAAGATTTAATCATAGAATGAAGGAACTGATGCCAAGTGTGGAAGTGCAGATTAAGAAATCGACATAATTGACTAAAGATTTATTATCAACTAAAATTAAACAAAAACATACATATATATTAAAATACAACTTTCTGTCCCTTTTAAAGCAGATCTAGAATGAAAGAATTATAAAATGTTGTAATATCTTCGCAAAGTTTTTGTACAAAAATAAGACAATGACATGGATTTAACAAATACAACCACATAAATATCTATCTTCACAAAGTTTTTGTACAAAAATAAGCAACGATATGAATATTTATAGACACTCATTTATAAAATTCATCAAATCTCACACCATTTTTAAGAAAATAAACCCCAAATTTAACCATTTTAGATCTTGTTTTCAGTAAATTTGCATCAAATTGCACACCATTGGATCTAGGTTGTTTGGCCTTGTTTTGGGGGAAAAAATCTGGGCTAAAATAAGGCACCTTATGGTATTGGGCCTGAGGCGAGGGCCTCATTTGCCTCGCCCACCCTCGCCTGAGGACCGGCTTTAATCATGTGTATTAAACATGCTCCTCTCTATTTACCTTGATCACAAAGCATCGATTTATCATAGAAGCCGAGCAAATGATAACGACAAGCCAAGATTGACATCATTCCGACTCATTGCAAACTTGAAGACAAACAACCAAAAAAAATCGAACTTAAAAACTTGGAGGGAAAAAAAAAACTCGAACTTGGAAAACATAGTTGTACTTTGAGGTTTATTTGACCTATCAAAATCGTCAAAAATATCCAGAAAGGATTTGTCCGTTAAGAATGATGAAATCATGAAAAGAAGATAAACAAATATGGAGATATTTCAACTCCGATCAACCAAATCCAAAACAATGTGCGATTGAATATGTACCAAAAACTATTTGATTTTGTTAAAACTCCAATTTTTAGTAGATTTTGATTAATATGGATGAAATATGTATGATTCAAAATGAGTTTATCAAAATATAGTTGATGCCTGGGGTAAGTGGGGAGAAAAAATACTGTAAATTTTATTATTTTTGTTTAATCAAAACTTAGAAATAATATATATTCAAATTATAATTTAGGTACAATTAAATTAATAGCCAAACATGACACTGACTCAACAATCTCGTGGAAACTCCCGCCAATTTTTCTTTATCATCCCCTCCCCTCCCCTCTCTTCTCTCCATTCTTCATTTGCGCTTCTGTTCTCGCTCGCGCTCGCGCTCTCGCTCTCTCTTGATCTTCTAATTCTCGCTCGCTCGATCTTCATTTGTGCACCTAATTTTTTCTGCTCCATTCTTCATTTGTGCTCCTGTTCTCGTTCGCTCTCTCAGATTTGAATTGAAGGTAAGTTAATTTAAATTCAAATCAATATGGTGGATTAAGCTGTTATTTTAATCAATTTTTAGGTTTAAATATTCATATTAATATCATAATTACTTGTGTAGATTCGTATGTTTTACTAAAATCGTAAAATGTAATGCTATCAGCATAATTTTGTTATATAATACAGAGCTGGATTCATGTAAAATGATCTTTAACAGAAAATATAAATTTGTTAATACCTATTTGTTGTTTCGTAGGATCTCCATGGCTTATAATACCAATCGATATTTTCCGGAATGTGTCCTTTATGAAGTTTTCTCATGGCTGCCCCCAAAATTTGTGGGGCGTTTTACTATAGTAAACAAATCCTCTTATGAATTCATTAAATCTCCTGCTTTCATTTCTACTCATCTCAGTCGATGTGTAGATGATGATAGAAGAGATTATGCTCTCCTCATGCCAAACCCTTGGTTTGGTCCCTATTGGTACGAACCTTGCAAAGTACTTTGTAACTGGAACGTGGAATATCAGGTTGAGTGGCCTGCAAAGTTTGATTTCTTCTCTCGACCAATTGGTTCTTTCAATGGCATTGTTTGCTTTACTAACAATCATGTTCGATGTTGTGGTCGAGTGTTATACTTGTGGAATCCGATTCTTGAGAAATTTAAATGCATTAAGAGCACTAGCTTCAATATTTTATATGATTCTGGTTACAGATTCCAGTATAATGTCGGATTTTGGTATGACAATATAAACGACGATTATAAGTTACTCAGAATCTTACAAGTTTTTAGTATTCTTGAAGTGAAACAATGTCAAGTTGAAATATTTAGCTTGAAAGCAAGGTCTTGGAAAAGGCTCTCTGATGTGGAAGTTCCTCCTCTATTCGTAAAGTCAGATATCCCCTTAGTTGCTAATGGACGAATCAATTGGTTGGTCATTCCTCCCTTCAGGCTGGAAGGGGATGTGTTTATCTTTTCATTTGATACTCGAACAGAAACGTTTCATCAGGTGACGTTGCCACATTTTGAGCAGCCCCTTGCAAGATTTCCAGATCTCATTGTTTACAGAGGGGTTCTTGCTCTCGTTGTTGTACCTCGTGATGTTTTAACCGATTGGAGTGTATGGGTAATGACACAATTCGGGGTGGCTGAAACATGGCAAGAGATTATTGTGCGAACTAGGGAACGACCTTTATATGTTAAATTTGCAAAGAAGGAAAATATCATTTTTGGGTGCAATGATTCCCGTCTGGCAGTGTGTAATATTGAGAAGCAGCAAACTAGATATCTTGAAGACGTTTCTAGAGATGGTTTATGGGTTGATTACCATGAAACAATTTCTTTTCTTGGTGATGAAGATGAAGTATTGGAATGAGGAGGGCATTCCCTTGCCAAAAGCGAGCCATTTACTCATTTTTTCCAACACTATTTGATTTTGTACTTTGTTCATGAACTTTGTCAACAAATTGACCCATAATTTTTTGGCGTTTAATTTGAAAAATTCTTGTTTCCTATGATGTATTGTGAAATAAATGACTTCCATTGATAAATAGAACATATAGAATTCTTGTATTGTGAAATAAATAACTTCTACTTGAAAAATTATTGTTTCCTATGATTGAAATTCCATTGTCTTCAAAAGACTGCTATGTGAAGCATATAGAATTCTGCCCCACTCGACCGCTTATGTAGAGGAGTATCAATTGGCTAGAGCTCCAGCGGGAGGGCATGGGACGATAAGGAAGGTGAGTCAGAAAGTGAATGTTATGGCTGGTAACCAATTGAAGCTTAATGTTGATGTCGCAATAAAGGGAAGGACGCAACTTCTTTGTCCTCAGAGTATCTGCCCGTTGCTATCCTCATGCGACAAAGGTTTAGGCTATCTTGGAAGGCATGCAATTTACTCTCAACAGTAGCAGCAGCCAAAAATTCAGGTCTCCAAGGGCACCATCCTATGCTGCATTACAAAACTTGAGGGCTCATTTGACGGAATATTATTTGTGCCAATTAGATGGTAAGCAACTGGGGACAGCTAGCTATGCATTTTCTAATTATCGTAGCAAAGTGTGGTTGGATAGACCACCTAGTTTTCTGGGAAACATTACTACTGTTGATTCTGTGGAATGAAGTTTCTTTCCTGTTCAGAAAAAACTACAGATCCCAATTATGTCTTCTACACACATAATATTTACTCGATCAAATACTGATCTATTTTCCCATTAAACCATCTCTAGGCATGGTTCGCTGAAAGACATTACATTCTTTACCATCTCGTCCTATCCATTCCAACAAAACCAGAAAAGTTGTACTGATATGTACATTCATTCCGTTGAGGCACGTTACAAATGCTGCACAGAATGACAGCAAAGAAAAACTACTTCCTCCCTTAAAATGGTCGAAGAAATACAACAAACGCCCAGCTTTTCTATTGCCGAGGATGTAACATAGTATGCAGTACAAGCTTCTTGCCAGATTACACAGGATCATCACATGAAGATCTATCTTTTTTGTTGAGAGAAAAACTCTAATCAAGGACTAAACATATCATTTCTAGTGGATCAAATATAGTAGCTGAAGTTTTGTTTATCTCATCTTATCCAATTTCAACACGATCAATTTCGAGTTGGTTTGAAGTGGCTACCTGATGAATCTTTGACTTGAATAGCTATTTCATTTTCAGTTTGATTCTTTCCCGATTTGCCTTTCTTGTACTTCGTCAATGTTTCGACACATTCCAAGCATTCGATCTAAACTACATTGACATTTTGTTTCGAAGATCAAAAGATTTTTTTTGGGATACCAATTTAATAAAGGACTGCACTTTGTGCGTTATCATGGGAAACAGTGAAGACGGGAAGCCTTCTAAGCCCGAGAAATCATCCCCGCCTGCAATGGTAGGAAAAAAAAATTAATTTAAATCCTAGCAATGCTAAGCTGTTTGCAGACAACTCTTAGGCCGACTTCAAACTTTGCAACTTAACCGGTAAATATGAATTTTTTACCATTGCAAGCGTTTTTGTGTAGCTATTAATTTTAGGAAAATACTCTCCTACATTAATGACAATTATGATGTGTCTTGCACTTCACGGCCGTGTTCAAAAGCATTTCAATTTAATAATATATCCCCTTTGTAACAATTGTAACTGTGTCAATCAAGACTCTATCCGCATCTCCAGAATTTCTCTACCTACCTATGTTAACAATACTTCCTTTTTAATACGCTCCATAAGAATAATAAAGAAAGTACTACAGTTGGTATAAAACTTTTTCCATGCTACTTCTACCTTGCTTAAAGTAAAGCAACATGAGGCATTATTAACTTCAATCGAATTCCATATAAGTAAAATTATTACGGTATATTATGCGCTTCCTTTTATCTATCCGTATATATAACATATACATCAATCTTCATGCTCAATTAATTGTTCATTTTGTCAATTATGAATACGAACTGAACCAAATTACATTTCCAGCCTTGCAGGATCTAATAGAAAGTACTTTCCATTCAACTAAGAAACAACATAAAATTACATAGAAAACAAGAGCCTCCACTTTTATATAAAAACTCCATAAGATATGCATAAAGGTTCTCAAATGGACAATAATGAGATGGTTAACATGGAAAATGTGTAACTAATTAAGGTTCTCTATGCAATCATTTCGGAGATTCTTGCAGAATTCTCTAAAATAATAGTATGGAAAGCGTTAAATAGCTCCACATTCTCCACGAATTACGTCTCTTTTCATGTTAACCACCTTATTATTTTCCCTAGATGAACTTTCGTTCACTTCTTCTAAAGTTTTGATGTACAAAGTGAAAGCCCTACCTTCTGGGAAATTAATATTATTTTTTACAACAAAATAATCCCTTTATGAATGGTTGCACAAAGCCTGCTTCGAACTGCATGAAGAGCAATGCAGAGGTAAGGCCCACAATGAAATTGTATTTCGTATTAAATATTATAGCATTTTGCTTTGATAATTTCCATATTGTGTACTTGCATATTCTGTCCCTTAACAAATTTTCTGTTTTCCAGTTAGGTGGCTTAAATTCTCGATTAACCTTTACAAAAACTCCGTCTAGCCCAATGGTATCTAAAGTCCCCAACTGATTTTTGAGGTTTTTACCAAATGATTGATTTTGTCTCTTTCTAACTATTGCAATCCGCATCTATTTTTATTTTGATTGTATAGAACTTTTGCTTCATTTCTACGTCAATTTAGTAGAAAAGGAACCAAACGAAAGTATATTTTGAAGTACGTTGTTACATTCTAAGTTGTAACACGTTGTTCTCCTCTTGTAAATTTGAACTTTCCCCTTATGCCTTTTCCATAGCATTTCCTTTGCCCTCCTTGTTTAAATGTTTCACCATTCATTGATCCTTTTACAGATTTATGGAACATTATTTCTTCTATGTAAATATGTGTGTGGAAATTTTGTAATACAATATCTCCTCAATCCTTAACATTCAAGACGTTAACATCCCTTTCAAAATAAGACACATAACTAGTTTTAATATAAAACTATTCTATTTTATTGAATAATCAGATTAATGAAATAAACTATCATAAAATAATTTATAAAATTCATAAACATTTTCCAAGAATGATAAATCGAACGTATTTTCAACCATTTTAACGTAGACCTTCCAAATATTGAAAATAAAATCAAAATTAAAAATTAAAAACATGTTTTTGACAACAGAGAAATCATTATAGGCAGGGGCAATCATGTGGGGTCAGATGACCCCACAAATTTTATTTTATTTTCAGAAAACGGTTGTTTTAACCCATTTTTGACCCACTTTAATACATACCAAATGAAATCGAAATATTACATTCTTAATATCGTTTCTAAACGCTCATGGCCTAGTTTTTCGCTTTTTAATGGTGTGTGAATGATCAACTATAGCAAAAGTTACGATATATCAAAGTATGCTGTTCCAAATTAGTATTTCGAAAATTTTGATAATATGATAATTTTTAAAATTTGCCAATGATCATATACTATCCAAATTTACAAATCGCTTGCATCATCTAAAAGCTTGTTATGAAAACTACATCGTAGCTATGTCGAATGGTCCAAACAGATATTAAAAATAGTTAAATATTCATCAAACGTCCGTATTAAAATAGGCGTTTAACTCGTCATTTTTTTTAAAAAAATTAATTATTTCATTTACAGTTATTATTTTTTCAAGATAAAATTTTTAATATAATTTACATCATTTTATTAAGAAATTTTACATTAAATATGATGTCAAAAATTCTAAAATTATTACGAATTAAATGTAATTTGAATTACTTTCAAATTATTTTTTCATTAAACTTAAATTTCATTCTAACATCCCTTTCAAAATAAGACACATAACTAGTTTTAATATAAAACTATTCTATTTTATTGAATAATCAGATTAATGAAATAAACTATCATAAAATAAATTATAAAATTCATAAACATTTTCCAAGAATGATAAATCGAACGTATTTTCAACCATTTTAACGTAGACCTTCCAAATATTGAAAATAAAATCAAAATTAAAAATTAAAAACATGTTTTTGACAACAGAGAAATCATTATAGGCAGGGGCGATCATGTGGGGTCAGATGACCCCACAAATTTTAATTTATTTTCAGAAAACGGTTGTTTTAACCCATTTTTGACCCACTTTAATACATACCAAATGAAATCGAAATATTACATTCTTAACCCAACGGGAACCCCATGAATAAAATAATCCCGATCTCATGTGTGTGTTGTGTCAACTCCGCGGTCGTTCATGCGCGCACTACAGCACGACTCTAATTTTTGACCCCACAATCCAAAACGGCTGGGTCCGCCCCTGGTTATAGGCATTAGAAAAGGCATCAAGCCACAAGTTCAAGCAAAAACTTTCATTTTTCGCTTTTTAATTGTGTGTGAATGATCAACTATAGCAAAAGTTACGATATATCAAAGTATGCTGTTCCAAATTAGTATTTCGAAAATTTTGATAATATGATAATTTTTAAAATTTGCCAATGATCATATACTATCCAAATCTACAAATCGCTTGCATCATCTAAAAGCTTGTTATGAAAACTACATCGTAGTTATGTTGAATGGTCCAAACAGATATTAAAAATAGTTAAATATGCATCAAACGTCCGTATTAAAATAGGCGTTTAACTCGTCATTTTTTTAAAAAAAATTAATTATTTCATTTACAGTTATTATTTTTTCAAGATAAATTTTTTAATATAATTTACATTATTTTATTAAGAAATTTTACATTAAATATGATGTCAAAAATTCTAAAATTATTACGAATTAAATGTAATTTGAATTAGTTTCAAATTATTTTTTCATTAAACTTAAATTTCATTTACTTCTTACATCCAATTTGATTTACTCGTCGTTAACTCAACATCCATAAATGACATGATAAACAAAACTATACATATAGCAAAATTCATTTAACAATATTGATAATGATCGAATTATAAGACACTTTCCAGATGTCAAAATACGTATTGACTTATTTTTATAAATATTATATTGTTTTAAAAAATTACACATTAATTTTTGGAGCTAAACACAACCCGCGAAGATGAACTCGCAAGTGACTGTGCCCTCACATGTCCAACGGGAACCCCATGAATAAAATAATCCCGATCTCATGTGTGTGTTGTGTCAACTCCGCGGTCGTTCATGCGGGCACTACAGCACGACTCTAATTTTTGGCCCCACAATCCAAAACGGCTGGGTCCGCCCCTGGTTATAGGCATTAGAAAAGGCATCAAGCCACAAGTTCAAGCAAAAACTTTCTAAAGGTCGTTATGACTAGTAGTTTCAAACAATTGACTGACAATGAAAATTATTCATTCACTTGAAACGTACTAAAAGAGAGAATAAAAAAGATAATCCTAATTCTCCAATTCATCATAAGCTCAAAAAATTGTTATCACGTGAGTTTAGAGAATAATGTGTGAGGTCTGGGACACAAAATAAATAACCTAAACAGAGGTAATAAGCAAAGAAAAGTTAATAAGCTGAATTGGAAGTGTACATAGTTGGACTCCCACACCCATGAACTTATTTCTGATGAAAATAGTAAATCAAATATTCACCAAGCTCTTGGTCTGATATCAATACCTTGAATAATAAGATGACCACCATGCCAACAATTACACCACAGTCCTGGATTCCACGGCACAGATATAATTTTCACATCCTGATCTTGTTTCCCCTCGACGAAGAACTCTCCCATCTCAACTTCCATCCATCCATCATCCCTGAACTTGGGATATCTGTGCAACTCTGAGGGCTCTATGATGTCTAGCCGTCTAAATACATGAGAGATTAAATGCAAGAAAGTTTTGGGTCTAGGAACAGTCTGGCACCTTTGCCTCTGTTCTTCATCTGGACAATAGACAGTTGTACCATCAGCTTCTTGTCCAATTTGTAAATAGTTAGTTTGTTCATCAGCGTTTTGTCCACTAATTTCTATCAAAGCCTGAGCAAGCTGGTGCCCATATCCATTAATTCCTGATCTCAAAGTGAACACGAGGTAAGCTGCATATTTAGTTCCTGAAGAAAGCATGGAGGTATTTATCTTGCCACAAATTGCAAACAAGTACCCAACAAGACGCACTCCGACCTCTGGAAATCTGAATCAGACACGCAACAAACTATCAAGCGAGATAATTAATATTAAAAAAAAAAAAAATACTTGTTATTCTTATGCAGGATAAATATAGAACCTGGAATTGGGAAAAGAGATCCATTGCCAACGGGGTGGACAACCCCATATAATGAGGTCCCTTGAAGCCAGCATAAAGCACTTCTTTCCCGTCCCTTTCTCCAATGAAAAGCTCTGTAGCAACAGAGAAACTGTAAAATGCATCCTCAACCCAAATAAATGAAACAATGGCCATGCTGAATTTTCATGATGATTAGAGTCTACACGTGTAAGGAATCTAATTGGTCAAAGGTGTCAAGGTGAAGAGATATACAATGTTGGGACATAGGACATGGGGTGAAAGAGATGAAATTACAAATGGTCATAGCATGGGGGGACATCTAATCTTTTTGTTGCCACAAAGCTGGCAAATCATATGCAGTACACTCAAAAATCTCGGTCCTGGAAGGCACGTGAGTCCAAACACTACGTTGAATGTGCAACCACTACACTAGGTACCAATGCAGGTGAGGCGTCAGTCGGTCCTAGAAACTGCGCCATGTGACCAAGACTGGACCGTAGTATCTTGATCTTGGTCGTTTTTATAGTCTTCTTGTCGCTGTTAGAACGACCAAGTTCTTCTAACATTTGGCTTTCTTATAAAAAGGAGGAATGGAAGCAGGGTACAGGTAACCACTTACCAGTGAGGCCATATAGAATACTATTACACACAAGAAATCAATTACAGTCAGTAATACAATTAGATCAGGTAAGATCGGTTGAGGATTACAGCTGGACATACTCCGTCTGATTTTACGCTGTTACCAAGGACTGGCAAAATTTAAATAGAGAAATTTTTGGGTCAATTCCATTATAACATATTCATCTATTGAGGGAGGTCCAATTCCACGCTCTTAAGCTACCTAGTCTAATGAACCTAGCCTGCTAGCATAGATAAGCAAAGTTCACTAATTTGAGACATTTAAACAGATAGCTCTGATATCCATAGTACTTCAACCTTATTTCTTAATCGTAGTAGTACAGAGCCACGCAGTTAAGCCTACGGTCATTTTTTTAAACCTCGATGTAATAAAATTGAACAATGGACATTTAGAGGCACATATTATTTAACAATGGACATCTAAAGCCATAGAACTGCTAATAGCTTTTAAAACATAAATGTTGACGTTAGTGGCATAAATAAATAAGCCATTACCACCCACAAAGTCAAATTTCAAACAGCAAGTAGTGCAATAAAATTAATTAATCTACAAAATGAGAACGAACAATTATTAAAATAGAAATATTCCAGTCCGTTATAACATAAAATTCAAATAATAAATAGCTTTTTGTAACATTTGTAGTTACCTATTTCGCCAAGAATTACATTAAGAGTGTATTGATAAAATCACAATTCATGAACTGGCAGAGTCTAATAGTGGGTTTCATAAGAAGTAACTTGATTCAGCAAGAATTTAATTGTTAGGATTTCAAAAAAATTACAACTTGCAAATAAATAAATAAATAAAAATTGTAGAAGAGGTTGGTAGAATTTAGATAATTTCTAATCGAAACTAATGCAAATTATATGCATAAGGCATGTCCCCAACACCGAAAGCAATCCATTTAAAACCCCCGTTGATTGGTAATTTGCATAAAATACGCAAGAACCCAAAATTAGTAAATAAATTACTAATAATTCCAGTGGATAATCCAAAATCAGGAAAACTAGTTGGAAATTCTATTACCTTGGTACTACCGTCGATGAGGATAGGGTTATGACACAGGTGAAAATAAAGCTCTTTCTTGGTATGAATTTTAGCGAGAAGCGAGTCAGCACCATCAATTGATCGGGAAATAATGTAACGACAATCAGGCGGCAGAAACTTCTCCCAGACGACATCAGATTCAGCAGCCGAACGGAATGTAGAATTGACCGATGACAGCCTGCAAGCATCCTTAGGGCTCATAAACGATAGCAAGCTCGCTATGCAACCCTCCGGCAACTTCTGAAAATCACCATAGTTCTCGATCGACATCCTTTTCTCTCGATGTCAAGACCTATTGTAAATAGAGAGACTAGGGTATCAAAGAGGACTAAGCGCGGACCAGGATATTAAGACACAAGGGCTGAAATTTGAGAAAGGCAATAATGTGGCTCCATTTTAATTTTAATACATTTTTTCTTTCTTTTTTTCAATCAATATTTTTTAATAAAATAATATTACACGTATATTCAAACTTTTCCTTCTTTTGAACATTTTTAAAAAATTACTATTTCAAAAATACATTTTTCTTCAAGCTCCTTTAAATGGAGCCCAAACAGTGTTAAAATAAATTCATACATAACATTAAAAGTCATTTTCATCAAATAATTTAATGATAAACCAAAAATTTAATGATAAAGATGTAATTGATAATTCCGATTTGGACACAGATTATCATCTCACCTATTATTGTTATAAATTACCCAATTAATAGACTTCTGGACATAGTTAATTTACTGAAACATAATTATCTATTCAGATACATAAACTAATAAAGATAGAAAGAAGGCTAATGGAGAGTGACATACAAAATAAAGAAGAAGGAAACCTTAATTTTGAGAAGAACGCGATGTGCAATCCGAGGATGAATAGGAGGCGTTGCTTAGAGATGGAGAGAGACGGAATAATGGAAGAAAAAGGGGAATTCGGGGTGTTTGATTTGGGTTTGGGTGTGTGAATTGGGCTGAAGTAAGTTTTAATTGTTTTGTTTAGGGTTTGAGCAAATGGAAATATGGGCTGGTTTGAATTTGTCCATGGGCTGATATGACAAAGAAAAAGAAAGGGAAATTTTCTTATATAACTCAATAAAAAAAAAAAAATTTATAGAATTACTGTTACATTTACATCTTTTTCATTCTCCAATATTCCAAAAAAAAAACTACTTTTAACGTAGTCGGATTATTTTTGGTAACTATCTCCAATTAAAATACATAACAATAAAAAAAATCTATTACAATTCCTCAAATGTCGCCAACTAAATATCATATCTATTACTTTCAAAAAATCATATTTAATTAATACCAATTACCTCCATGATTTTATGGGATGATAATCCACCTATACTTTTTCCCCCTTCTTTCACAAGATAAGAAAGCATAGGACTTGATTTTACCTAACTATTAAATATAATTCTTAATTATCTTATTATCTCTAATCAACTTTTACATATTTATAAGCAAGAACTCAATTGCATTTTTATCCCCTCTTGAGTGCAGGTTAGATTTTGCCCAACTTTGCAAAATATATAAGTGGGACCTCTTTGACACAACACGAACACCCTTTTCGGACTCTCATTGTTCCACCTTCTCCAGAGAACGTATATCCTTTTGAATAAAAAATACTTAACAAAATGAGATTCTTCTTCAAGTATGAAATATATCGAATGTGATCAAGTGTTTTACATGTTCCTTCCACCAACTTCAATCTTACTCTACGAATACCAACTCCCGAAAAGGTTCGTTTTTACCCATGACAGCGACACCTTGTGTCCTTGTTTCGTATGTTTCAAACAAATCTCGATTGGGACACATATAGAATGCACAAGTTGTATCCAAAATTCACTCCTTGTCAAGTTTGGATTTCATGTCAAAATAATTGTTAAAACATCTCCATCACTCAAACAGTTCTTGACAATGTTGGTCTCCTATGAAGTATTGATTACTTCTCATGATTTGCAGTCAAATTACATTTCTTCTGCAATTTGTCGTAATCCCTCTTAATATATCCTTTTTTTCTTACAATAATAAAAAATCTACTTATTGAAACATAACCTCGACTTACCCTTTCTCCAATCATCATGAACCACAAGGCCTTTTCCATCTCTGGACTAATAGCCAACCAGATGCTCCATCTTCTCCTTTGAGAATAGGGTATCATACACGTTTTCAAAAGTGAGAGTATCGCAACTATACAAAATCGAGTCCCTAAACGAAGCAGGCAGCGAGCACAATGGGATTAAGGCAAAATCTTCTTCATTGTGCTTTACCTCTAAGGTCTTCAAATCAATGACGATCTCCTTAAATAGAGTCAGATGATCTTCCAAAGATTTGCTTTCTGCCATGCGATGAAAATGCAACCTCTGCTTTAGATGCAATTTGCTTGTTAGAATTTTGATCATGTATAATTGCACCAACTTCAACCTCAATGCAGTTGTCTTCTCTTTCAAAACATCCTGAAAAATATTGTTGGAGAGATGAAGATGAATTTGTGAAAGTGCCTTCCGACTCTTCCATTGTTTCTTCTCTATTGTCCAAGTTGTGAGTATTTGGTCAAATTTTAACAACCCGTCATACAAATCCATCTGCGCCAAAATAGCAGCATCTTCATTTTCCATAACGAGAATCTTGTATTGCGATCAAAAAGCGAAATTCATACATCATGGCTGCCATAGATAATTGAAACCTCAAACTAAATTACAACTAATAGCTTTAATACCACTCATTGAGAAATAATGATATGAAGTATATAATCGCAAACAAATAACAAGATAAAAGGCAAAGAATTAATTGGTGAAGGAATTGAGTACTTTATTCAATTGACAAATACGGAGAAAATAAATACAATTATTTTATATTTCAGTAATAGAAAACTTGTGGAAAGAATCCAGTATTTACAGGGGTGCATGCCAAACCCTAGAATACTACAACGATGGAAACGGGATAAAAATAATGTAGAAGAAAGGAAACAATATTTTTTTCCTATAAAAATGTGTGGAATAAAAATGAAATAATATCTTTCCAATAAAAATGCGTGGAATAAAAAGGAAATAATATTTTTCCAATAAAAGCCGGTGCAATAAATGAAAGAATATTTTTTCAAAAAAATCTAACCTAATTTGGGTAAAAAATCCAACAAAGTCGTTAAAAACCTTTAAAAATCACTGATATAGATTTGAATGAATGTTATATCGCTGAAAAGTTGTATCCATTACTTTAATTTTTTTTATTTTTAAAAAAAAAAGGGGGATTCATTACAAGACTTGTGCTTTGATTTGAGTTACAATAATTTATATCTCAAATAAGTGCACAAGAAAGTATGATAACTTTTGAAAATCACTAATTTTACGGAAATTTTAGATTTTGATAAATCTTGTACCGTTGGTAAGATGCAAACTTTACTTTGGAAAACGATTTTCATACAGAACTTGGGCTTTGAGTTATAAGAATTTTTCAAAAAACAAAACTCGTATAGATTTCCTTAAAGAGTAACCGGTTTTCAAAATTTTTGACATGTTGAATCCCCAAACCATGACATTGATTTTCAGCATTAGTTAATTGATCCACATCCTTATCCTAGGGATTCCAACCTTGAGGAAAGATATTTTCGGGTAGATATTTCTATATGCTCTTCATATGAATGTTGTTCCCTCTATAGAATCATAGATACTAAAGCAATCCGTAAAACACATATTTCGTAGAATTATTGAGATAATCTCTTCCTAGTGAGGCAAAGTAATCTAGAAAGACTTGTCGCAATTTGAAGAGAGACTTCGGCATTTCAACGCAACGAGGTTGTTCCCAGTTAGGTGGGGGAGGATGTTATGTCATGCAGGCCGTTTGCATTTTCTATCAATGCCAAGATTGAATTTTTGCAAGAAAAGGTCACTACGCTAAGCACCTTCATTGTCCAGATTAATCTTGTCGTATAACAACATTGAGTAGTCAGCATTTACTAAGGTATGGGGTGAGAAACAATCACTATAATTTTAAGGGGCATTTTTAAGAATGTCAATTTAAGGGTATGAGTTGAAAAGTGTCTACTCATATGAATTTAGTGTCAACTTGTCTATTATACTCTTAATGAAAAGCTACATTTGGATTGTATTCTCGACATTTTAAATGTTGTTTTGGACATTTGATTTTTTTATCAATTTGTCACGAATTTTGAAAACTGGCTTCTATGAGAAGCTACATTAAGATAATGTTTCTCGACATTTCATATGTCATTTTCGACATTTGAATACCGTTTCATTTGTCTATAATGATATTTCATTTTGAACATGACATTTTTCTACATTTAAAAATGTCGTTCTCGACATTTCTGAATCAATGAAAAACATAGCATTTATTGTGATTTGACATGTATACTTTTTGAAATAAATATGGCAGGTTATGTGCCAAAATTTTATTGGCCAATAACAATATTGCAAAAATGTCTCTTTTTTATCTTAGTGTGGAATTATAAATTGTTAATAAGGGTATTTTGTCTAAATTCTTCCAAATTAGACATTTTTGCAATGGTGGACATTTTTGCAAATGACTAGATAAAAATGGACATTTTGTGAAATTTCCTCTAATTTTAACTTATATCGATTTGCTCTTTATTGTTTGTCCTTATTAATTAATTTCAAAAGGGCAGAAAATGTGTTATAAATTGATCGATAGCCAACTTTAAATCTGAATCATCTGATAAAACTCAGGCTCAACAGATTCATGTCGATATAAAATACCGTTCTTAATTTGCTAGAAACCCTGCAGATTATAGCTTTGTTGGAGCCAATCATTTTAATTGATGACAATTGACAATTTTACCATCTTCGATTTTTTTAGCTTTACCTTGCAGATTATAGTTTCATATGCTTTACAGTTTACTGAAGTTCAAAGTCTAATATTCATAGAAGCTACTAACAGAATATGGCACACTCTTATGCTATATGGACAATTGCAGAATCATCAATTGAATGCCCAAGCGAACTCTTTCCGAACCGCCTTTTCCTCAACCACAGAGAAATCATTCTCAACGTTGAACATCTTGCGAACTTCAATGATGGTCCTATCCTTGATCAAGGATGCCAGAGTTCGACATGTAAGCTCAAAAAGGCTCTTGATGTCCAAATAGTCGGCAGCCTGAAGAATTATTGCAGCCATTAGCAAAACCTTTCAACTGCTTGAAATATAAAATTGCTAAATGTTATACAAAAGCATTTGTATTTGTTGATGCAGCAAGATCACTGCATCTGCATTACCACATGCTCCATCACAGGAAGAATCATGCCTCACAGTATGACTAAGGTGTCTAGTAACCCCTAGATGATGCTTATTATTGGACATGAAGTTCAAATTAGTAAGGTATTAGGGCCTTGAAATGGAATTATAAATGCTCTGTTTTAATTTCTTAAATTCTAACCTAACGGTTTAATCATAAGCCTTCAAAGGCGACGAGCAATTACAAGCATGGATTTCTGAGTAATCCATAACAAGTGATTATTGAAACCACAACAGCTATTTAATGACTTTCGAACAATTAGTTTAACACTCAACCCATTATCACTCACTGGAATTCAGCCCCCAAATAACACCATAAAAGGGGAAATCAACCATCAGCGGAAAGCAACAACTAATCCAGAATTACGGCAGATTTCAAACAGTAAGACCCGACAGTTAATTAAGTGCATTTCTTAATAAAAGAAATAAGAGATACCAAGCATAGTTCAAGGAGTATGTTCTCATCAACATTCATAAACTCGTTGTCGAATGTCTTCAAATCCTCATCGGCAATGGTGGCGGAAGTGCCACCGGAGCAGGTCTCAGCGTGGTGCTTGCAATACTCAATGACCAAAGCCAGAATCTCGGAGGTGACATTGTAAAGAGGGATGAAGGGTCGGGCGCAATCCCCCTCTATCAATTCTCTGATCACCTCCAATTGAACCGCCACCGATTCCTCCACCTCGAAAATCACTCCATCGAGGCTCTTCAGTAAGAACACCTTCTTCTCTGTTAATTCAGTACTGGACGACATTGTTCAAAGCAATAAATTCTAGAAACCACTAATTTCACGAGAGGTAAATGGTATAGTGATTGGAGAGAGAACTGTTTACAAATGGGAGGGAAGTAGGTTGTTGCGCTGTAAAAATTAAACTTCACGCTTTTTTTATTTGGAAATTGCTCTGTGTAATTTCTTAAAGGGGACTTACCGACCCCTCCAATGAGGGGTGGTCCCATGTGGAAAATATAATAATAATAATAATAATATATATATGTCGAGGCCAGCGATTGTGTGTATTCCCTGTAAGTAGGGATGTCAACGAGCCAAGTCGAGCAGCCTCGCAAGCTGAAATTCTAGGCTCGGGCTCGATTCGGATAAAATATTCGAGCTTTTTTCCAGGCTCGAGCTGAGCAAAAGCTCAGCAAAAAAAAATTGGGCTCAACCCGAGCTTTTGGCTTGGGCCTTTTCAAGCCGAGCTGGGCCGGCTCGGGTATTGTTTGGTTTTGAAATTTTTTTTAATTAAATAAAATGGCAGCAGGTTGCTGCCTAACAAGGCAGGTGCTGTCCTATTTTTGGCAGCAGCGTGTTGTTTTTTATTTTTATTAAAAAATATATGCTCCGAGCCGACGAGTCACACGGGCCGGCTTGAGCTTTGTCCGGCATCTAAAAATGGGGCTCAGCCCGAACCTCAAGCCGGGCGGGCTCGAACTTTTTTCGAGTCGAACCACGGACAGCCTGAATTGACGAACTCGATTGCCATCCTTACCTGTAAGAGTAGCAGGGTTCTTTTTATTTTCGTGATGCAATCCCTCTTTGAAGGTTAAAAGGGAAGAATTTGAGCTGAGATCCCTTACGTTTCAACTTGCTTGACTTCGAGCCTTTGGCCCCCATTTTTTTTTTTTAAACTCATTTTTAATCCCACATTTTCCGTAAAATAGTTTTACATATAGATCGAAAATATTTTTTTTATTTTTTAAGCATATATTTTTCAAAAAATCAATATTCTACAATAAACTTTTTTACAAAAATGGGGTTAGAACAGGGAAGTCACATCTGTCACCCGAAGTTCTAGTCATTCAACCTATTTAAAAAATATAAAAATTTTTGAACTACTTGAATATTTGCAAGAGACCTTTTTTTTTTTTTTTTTTTTTTTTTTTTTGGTATTGTGGTTTAAAGAGCATCTTTAGCAATTTACAGAACATCTATAAATTTGAAATAAATTTTTTAAGTACTCCGATGGACTCTTTGTGTTTTACACTTAATTTTACTAGTCCGAAAAATATTTTATTATTTTTTTGTCTTTTATTTTCGTTAACTTTTCTTCAAATTATTTTATTATTTTATCCATTATGTTGAAATATTTTCAATACATTTAATCATAGAGAGTGAGTTAATTTGGAGAGTAACACTCACTCTTTGTTCTCTCATTTTTCTCTCTACATATCCTTCTGGATCCAAGATTTGTTGACCACTTCATCCCTACAAAAAATTGAGAGGAATCAAGATTTGTTGACCAACAAATGTCACGATAATTAGGCGGCAAAAACCTTCCCCAAACGACGTTGGATTCTACAGCTAATCGGAATGTGGAATTCACCGACGACAGTCGGCAAGCGTCCTTGGGGCTCATTAGTGAAAAAGCGTTCACTATACAACCCTCGACAGCACATGGAAATCATTGCAGCTATCAAACGAGTTTCTGTCTCACAATAGATTATAATGTTGAAATTGGATTTTTATATATATGTTATTTAACAGATGGATAAAAGGCATGATGAGGAATATATTTTCAATTTTAAATTAGTAAACATTTTAGAGTGATATCTCACTTATTTCTTTTGACGAATATTGAGTTTTAAAAATCAAAAAGATTAATTTTCATTTAGATTGTGATTAATCGTTCAAATTCTTTTCAATAAACTATATTTTCATCATTGCTAGAACTTTGACCGACCTCTACATTTTCAGTAATGAGCAATACGTTGTACTACCGTATATATTTAATAATTTACTCGTAAAAGATAATTTAAATTGTTATATTTCACCCCATGTGCCCAAAAACAAGAAAATAATTGAATCAATAAAATTGCCATATAGTCCGTATCAAAAGTTATTTGCAACAGCTTACCGTATTTGTAACAGCATACCATATTTGCAATATTTTACCGTATTTGCAACAGTATACCGTATTTACAACAATTTACTGTATTTGCACCAACGTACCATACATGCAAGAGCTTAACGTATTTGCATATACCGTATATGCAGTGAGGTTAGATACCGTATTTTCAAATACCGATTTTTGCACTTATAAATATCAAACTTGGATAATACCATATATGCACTTACCAAACCAAATGTCAGTAAAAAAAATTTAGTTTTTTATTTTTAACATAAACAGACTCAAATTTGTATTTTAACATAAGCATGAAATAAACTTCAAATATATGAAGCACAAAAATAATATAAATGCATATAAATCTGCAAGTCAAATGGTAAAATAAAATTCAGGAAAATGAATTTTTAACCCGAAGTCTGTGCGTACACAATTTCCTTAAAACAGATTCACCCCTTCACTTTAAGTAATTAAGATTTAATTCGAACGTCTATTTCCCAGGATACAATAATAAAACCAGTAGGATCCGAGCATCACAGATACTACTTCAGTGAATTGATTAGTATTCGAACAATATTACAACCAAGACGACGTTGACAGAAATCGAGATTGTATATACAGACAGACCAACTTCGCAAAGAATGATAATATGAAGGCACATTTTTTCTCCTGTATTTCGTGTGTAAGAATTGCTAGAAAGTGAGATTTAATATAAGTTAATTCTGTCCATTAACTCTATGGCAATAAAAATTGGAGTTACTTTAGTTTCTGCAATAACCATCGGAGTTTTAGCAGTTTTAGAAACTCAAAAGTCAATTGGATAAAGCAAAAAAAATTGCAAAACGTGGACACTTCAAACGGGCCAATTTTTTCTCCATTCGGTTTGACATTCGTGTACGCAAGTGCGCCCGTACACGAGTTCAAGGTCCTAAAGCTATTTCGGTCTGTGATTTGCATCCCACTGCGAGCGCATGTGGAGAGAGTCTTTATACTACATATGATTACACCCGTTTAATGTGTAGCCATATATAAAGTGGTTCTTGCTTTCATAATTTTCCTATGTGGGATAAACTCATTTTCCTACATAAATCATCTTCCAATGATCAACTTTAAGCTTCAATTTCTCATTCACCCAAGCTCATTTTTGACAAGTAAATACATGATTTCGATATTCTAATGAGAACACAAATCAATTTTGATCTTCCGAATTGGACCAACGAGTCCCACCAAAAATTGTATCAAAAGCGAGCCATATACTATTTTTTCCAACATCCTCCACCTCGAAAATCACTTCATCGAGGCTCTTTAGTAAGAACACCTTCTTCCTGTCAATTCAATACAGGACAACATTGTTCAAAGCAATAAATTCTTGAAACCACTAATTTCACGAGAGGGAAATGGTTTAGTGTATGGAGAGAGAATTGTTTACAAATGGGAGAGAAATAGGTTGTTGCGCTCTAAAAAATAAATGTCACGCTTTTTTTATTTTTGTGATGCAATCCTTGTTTGAAGAATTTGAGCTGAGATTCCTGACCCTTCAACTAGCGTGACTTCGAGCCCTTGGCCCCCCCCCCCCCCTTTAAAAAAAAAAATAAAAAAAAATCATTTCCAATTTCACATTCTCCATAAAATAGTTTTACATGTAAATCAAAAATATTTTTTTTTATTTTTTAAGCACACATTGTTCAAAAAATCAGTATTCTATAATAAACTTTTTTTTTACAAAAATGGGACTAAAACACGGAAGTCACCTCCGTCACACGAAGTTCTAGGCATTCAACCTATTTTAAAAACTAGTCTTTGTCACGTGCATTGCACGAGTTTTGTATTTATTGCGTATTCATTAGCTTACAATTGTATATTTCTCTATTGAAGATCAAAATTGACACTTTTGTAACTATGGGATTATGCTAGACTAATCTTTATTTCTTATAAAAATTAGTTATGTGTTATAGCATTTGTAATCTCAGCTCCGGACTGCATAAGAGAAATCATTAATTCTTCCTTCAAAATTTCTTATAAAATATTGGCTGAAAGCATTTCAGCACTCGCAACCTCAATTCAAACTGCTTATTTCTTCCTCAAGAATTCCTTCTTGGAATTTGGATTTGTTTAAGAGCAATATGTTTTCTTCTAAAATTCCTTGTGGGAGTTACAAAACTCACAACCTTAGCTCGAACTGCTCCAGAGCAATACTTATTGCTTCATCCGGAATTCCTTCTAGGAATTTGGACTTTCTTAAGAGCATTCATTATTTTCATATAGAATTTCTTATGGTAATTGGATGGAAGGTCGTAGCACTTAGAACCTCGGTTTGAAATACTTAAAAGACGTGGCATGGCATTGAATTAACTCAAAATAACTCACATTGAATCATGTCTATATATAATTTACTTATCATTTTTTCATGAAAAAGAAATGTTTAGCCATCGTAGAAAATTACAAATTTTTATGTAATGCCTTTCAAGGATTCTTTCAACTGACATGTCAAATTTTTTATATTATTTGATAGGATTACTTGTTTCCACCACAAAGGTATAACTTTGGACTTATGGAAGTACTGTGGTGGTCTAGTATAGATTTATATATTTTTTCATAATTAAGGCCGTTCGGGCTAAGAGATAAGAATAAGGGGCTGAAGATTGATTTTAAAAAATTTGAGGACTAATTGAAATTTGAGCAATAAGTTGGGGATCAATGGTGAAATTCTCCCATATCACTAATATTTTATATGTTTTTTGTTTTCTTGTGTTTGCGGCCTCATTTTTCTTCTTTCATGTCGATTTCAAAAATTCCAGTAAGGATTTGGGAGCAACTAAGCAAACAGTAAGTTTAGCAAACAGGAATGAAGCATGGAATGACTATTAAGCTCTACATAATTATAATCCATCGATTATGTCGAACAATAACATAGCAGTGTATTCCAAAATTTGATCTTCTTTTTGGGCAAATAAAACCAGCTAAAATTTCAGAAACTTCCCTGGACAATTCACAA